ATGTTTGAGCAGGTTTTATTGTATAAGGTGTAGATGTTGCTTTTGTTGATTCAGATATTGATTCAGTGGTTGGTGAGTGAGATGTAGATGATGTTGTAGCTGATGTAAGTGTTGGTGCAGGGGTTGTTGTTGATAAAGCTGTAGATGTTGATGTAGATGTTGGTGCAGGGATTATTGTTGATTCAGATGTAGATGTTTGAGCAGGTGTTGTTGATTGAGGTGTAGATGTTGGTGTTCTTGATTCAGATGTTGATTCAGTGATTGGTGAGTGAGATGTAGATGTTGTTGTTGCTGATGTAGATGTTGGTGCAGGGCTTGTTGTTGTTGATGGAACTGTATATGTTTCTGTAGTTGATGTAGATGTTGATGTTTGTTCAGTGGTTGTTGTTGATTCAGATGTAGATATTTGAGCAGGTGTTATTTGTTGCGGTGTAGATGTTGGTATTGTTGATTCAGATGTTGATTCATTGGTTGGTGTGTGAGATGTAGATGTTGTTTTAACTGATGTAGATGTTGGTGCAGGGGTTGTTGTTGTTGATGGAACTGTAGATGTTGATTCATATGTAGATGTTTGAGAAGGTGTTGTTAATTTTGATGTAGATGTTGGTGTTGTTGATTCAGATGTTGATTCAGTGGTTGGTGAGTGAGATGTAGATGTTGTTGTAGCTGATGTAGATGTTGGTGCAGGGGTTGTTGTTGATGGAACTCTAGATGTCTCTGTAGTTGATGTAGATGTTGGTTTAGTGGTTGTTGTCGATTCAGATGTAGATCTTGATTCAGATGTAGATGTTTGAGCAGGTGTCGATTGAGGTGCAGATGTTGGTGTTGTTGATTCAGATATTGATTCAGTGGTTGGTGAGTGAGATGTAGATGTTGTTGTAGCTGATTTAGGTGTTGGTGCAGGGGTTGTTGCTGATAAAGCTGTAGATGTTGATGTAGATGTTGGTGCAGGGATTATTGTTGATTCAGATGTAGATGTTTGAGCAGGTGTTGTTGATTGAGGTGTAGATGGTGGTGCAGGGGTTCTTGTTGTTGATGGAACTGTAGATCTTTCTGTAGTTGATCTAGATGTTGGTTCAGTGGTTGTTGTTGATTCAGATGTAGTTGTCTGAGCAGGTGTTATTGGTTGAGGTATAGATGTTCGTGTTGTTGATTCAGATATTGATTCAGTGGTTGGTGAGTGAGATGTTGATGTTGTTGTAGCTGATGTAGGTGTTGGTGCAGGGGTTGTTGCTGATAAAGATGTAGATGTTGGCGTAGATGTTGGTGCAGGGATTATTCTTGATTCAGATGTAGATGTTTGAGCAGGTGTCGATTGAGGTGCAGATGTTGGTGTTGTTGATTCAGATGTAGATGTTTGAGCAGGTGTTGTTGATTCAGATGTAGATGTTTCTGTAGCTGATGTAGGTGTTGGTGCAGGGCTTGTTGTTGTTGATGGAACTGCAGATGTTTCTGTAGTTGATGTAGATGTTGGTTCAGTGGTTGATGTCGATTCAGATGTATATGTTTGAGCAGGTGTTATTGGTTGAGGTGTAGATGTTGGTGTTGTTGATTCAGATGTTGATCCAGTGGTTGGTGTGTGAGATGTAGATGTTGTTGTTTCAGATGTGGATGCTTCTGTAGTCGATGTAGATGCAGGTTCAGTGGTTGTTGTTGAAGATGTCGATGTTGTTGTAGCTGATGTAGATGTTGGTGCAGGGGTTGTTGTTGATGGAACTCTAGATGTTTCTGTAGTTGATGTAGATTTTGGATCAGTGGTTGTTGTTGATTCAGATGTATATGTTTGAGCAGGTGTTGTTGATTTAGGTGTAGATGTTGTTGATTCAGATGTTGAATCAGTGGTTGGTGAGTGAGATGTAGATGTAGTTGTAGCTGATGTAGATGTTCGTGCAGGGGTTGTTGTTGTTGATGGAACTCTAGATGTTTCTGTAGTTAATGTAGATTTTGGTTCAGTGGTTGTTGTTGATTCAGATATAGATGTTTGAGCAGGTGTTATTGGATGAGGTGTAGATGTTGGTGTTGTTGATTCAGATGTTGAATCAGTGGTTGGTGAGTGAGATGTAGATGGTGCTGTAGCTGATGTAGATGTTCGTGCAGGGGTTGTTGTTGTTGATGGAACTCTAGATGTTTCTGTAGTTAATGTAGATTTTGGTTCAGTGGTTGTTGTTGATTCAGATATAGATGTTTGAGCAGGTGTTATTGGATGAGGTGTAGATGTTGGTGTTGTTGATTCAGATGTTGAATCAGTGGTTGGTGAGTGAGATGTAGATGTTGTTGTAGCTGATGTAGATGTTGGTGCAGGGGTTGTTGTTGTTGATGGAACTGTATATGTTTCTGTAGTTGATGTTGATGTTGATGTTTGTTCAGTGGTTGTTGTTGATTCAGATGTAGATATTTGAGCAGGTGTTATTTGTTGCGGTGTAGATGTTGGTATTGTTGATTCAGATGTTGATTCATTGGTTGGTGTGTGAGATGTAGATGTTGTTTTAACTGATGTAGATGTTGGTGCAGGGGTTGTTGTTGTTGATGGAACTGTAGATGTTGATTCATATGTAGATGTTTGAGAAGGTGTTGTTAATTTTGATGTAGATGTTGGTGTTGTTGATTCAGATGTTGATTCAGTGGTTGGTGAGTGAGATGTAGATGTTGTTGTTTCAGATGTAGCTATTTCTGTAGTAGATGTAGATGCTGGTTCAGATGTTGTTGTTGATTTGGTTCATTCGTTGTTGTGGATTCAGATGTAGATGTTTGAGCAGGTGTTATTGGTTTAGGTGTAGATGGTGGTGTTGTTGATTCAGATGTTGATTCAGAAGTTGGTGAGTGAGATGTAGATGTTGTAGCTGATGTATGTGTTGGTGCAGCGATTGTTGCTGATAAAGCTATAGATGTTGATGTATATGTTGGTGCAGGGATTATTGTTGATTCAGATGTAGATGCTTGAGCAGGTGTTGTTGACTGAGTTGTAGAAGTTGGTTTTTTTGATTCAGATGTTGATTCAGTGGTTGGTGAGTGAGATGTAGATGTTATTGTTTCAGATGTAGATGTTGGTGCAGGGGTTGTTGTTGTTGATGGAACTGTATATGTTTCTGTAGTTGATGTTGATGTTGATGTTTGTTCAGTGGTTGTTGTTGATTCAGATGTAGATATTTGAGCAGGTGTTATTTGTTGCGGTGTAGATGTTGGTATTGTTGATTCAGATGTTGATTCATTGGTTGGTGTGTGAGATGTAGATGTTGTTTTAACTGATGTAGATGTTGGTGCAGGGGTTGTTGTTGTTGATGGAACTGTAGATGTTGATTCATATGTAGATGTTTGAGAAGGTGTTGTTAATTTTGATGTAGATGTTGGTGTTGTTGATTCAGATGTTGATTCAGTGGTTGGTGAGTGAGATGTAGATGTTGTTGTAGCTGATGTAGGTGTTGGTGCAGGGGTTGTTGCTGATAAAGATGTAGATGTTGGCGTAGATGTTGGTGCAGGGATTATTCTTGATTCAGATGTAGATGTTTGAGCAGGTGTCGATTGAGGTGCAGATGTTGGTGTTGTTGATTCAGATATTGATTCAGTGGTTGGTGAGTGAGATGTAGATGTTGTTGTAGCTGATTTAGGTGTTGGTGCAGGGGTTGTTGCTGATAAAGCTGTAGATGTTGATGTAGATGTTGGTGCAGGGATTATTGTTGATTCAGATGTAAATGTTTGAGCAGGTGTTGTTGATTGAGGTGCAGATGTTGGTGTTGTTGATTCAGATGTCGATTCAATTGTTGGTGAGGGAGATGTAGATGTTGCTGTAGCTGATGTAGATGTTAGTGCAGGGGTTGTTGTTGCTGATGGAACTGTATAGGTTTCTGTAGTTGATGTAGATGTTGGTTCAGTAGTTGTTGTTGATTCAGATGTAGATGTTTGAGAAGGTGATGTTGATTGAGGTGCAGATGTTGCTGTTGTTGATTCAGATGTTGATTCAGTGGTTGGTGAGTGAGATGTAGATGTTGTTGTTTCAGATGTAGATGTTTCATTAGTCGATGTAGATGCTGGTTCAGTGGTTGTTGTTGATTCAGATGTTGATGTCTTAGCAGGTGTTGTTGATTGAGGTGCAGATGTTGGTGTTGTTGATTCAGATGTTGATTCAGTGGTTGGTGAGTGAGATGTAGATGTTGTTGTAGCTGATGTAGATGTTGGTGCAGGGGTTGTTGTTGTTGATGGAACTGTAGATGTTTGTGTAGTTGATGTAGATGTTGGTTCAGTGGTTGTGTTTAATTCAGATGTAGATCTTTCTGTAGCTGATGTAGATGTTGGTGCAGGGCTTGTTGTTGTTGATGGAATGATTCAGATGTAGATGTTTCTGTAGTTGATGGAGATGTTGGTTCAGTTTTTGTTGTTGATTCAGATCTAGATGTTTGAGAAGGTGTTGTTGATTGAGGTGCAGATGTTGGTGTTGTTGATTCAGATGTTGATTCAGTGGATGGTGAGTGAGATATAGATGTTGTTGTAGCTGATGTAGATGTTGGTGCAGGGGTTGTTGTTGTTGATGGAACTTTAGATGTTTCCGTAGTTGATGTAGATATTTGTTCAATAGTTGTTGTTGATTCAGATCTAGATGTTTGAGAAGGTGTTGTTGACTGAGGTGCAGATGTTGGTCTTGTTGATTCAGATGTTGATTCAGTGGATGGTAAGTGAGATATAGATGTTGTTGTTGCTGATGTAGATGTTGGTGCAGGGGTTGTTGATGTTGATGAAACTGTTGATGTTTCTGTAGTTGATGTAGATGTTGGTTCAGTGGTTGTTGTTGATTCAGATGTAGATATTTGAGCAGGTGTTATTGGATGAGGTGTAGATGTTGGTTTTGTTGATTCAGATGTTGATCCAGTGGTTGGTGAGTGAGATGTAGATGTTGTTGTTTCAGATGTAGATGTTTCATTAGTCGATGTAGATGCTGGTTCAGTGGTTGTTGTTGATTCAGATGTTGATGTCTTAGCAGGTGTTGTTGATTGAGGTGCAGATGTTGGTGTTGTTGATTCAGATGTTGATTCAGTGGTTGGTGAGTGAGATGTAGATGTTGTTGTAGCTGATGTATATGTTGGTGCAGGGCTTGTTGTTGTTGATGGAATTGTAGATGTTTCTGTAGTTGATGTAGATGTTGGTTCAGTAGTTGTTGTTGATTCAGATGTAGATGTTTGAGCAGGTGTTATTGGTTGAGGTGTAGATGTTGTTGATTCAGATGTTGATTCAGTGGTTGGTGAGTGAGATGTAGATGTTGTTGTAGCTGATGTAGATGTTGGTGCAGGGGTTGTTGTTGATGGAACTCTAGATGTCTCTGTAGTTGATGTAGATGTTGGTTTAGTGGTTGTTGTCGATTCAGATGTAGATGTTTTAGCAGGTGTTATTGGTTGAGGTGTAGATGTTGGTGTTGTTGATTGAGATGTTGATCCAGTCGTTGGTGTGTGAGATGTACATGTTGTTGTTTCAGATGTTGATGTTTCTGCAGTCGATGTAGTTGCAGTTTCAGTGGTTGTTGTTGATTCAGATGTAGATGTTTCTGTAGTTGATGGAGATCTTGGTTCAGTTGTTGTTGTTGATTCAGATGTAGATGTTTGAGAAGGTGTAGTTGATTGAGGTGCATATGTTGGTGTTGTTGATTCAGATGTTGATTCAGTGGTTGATGAGAGAGATGTAGATGTTGTTGTAGCTGATGTAGATGTTGGTGCAGGGGGTGTTGTTGATTCAGATGTTGATTCAGTGATTGGTGAGTGAGATGTAGATGTTGTTGTAGCTGATGTAGATGTTGGTGCAGGGATTATTGTTGATTCAGATGTAGATGTTTGAGCAGGTGTTGTTGATTGTGGTGCAGATGTTGGTGTTGTTGATTGAGATGTTGATTCAGTTGTTGGTGAGTGAGATATAGATGTTGTTGTAGATGAAGTAGATGTTAGTGCAGGGGTTGTTGTTGTTGATGGAACTGTATATGTTTCTGTAGTTGATGTAGATGTTGGTTCAGTAGTTGTTGTTGATTCAGATGTAGATTTTTGAGTAGGTGTTGTTGAATGAGGTGTAGATGTTGTCGATTCAGATGTTGATTCAGTGATTGGTGAGTGAGATGTAGATGTTGTTGTAGCTGATGTAGATGTTGGTGCAGGGGTTGTTGTTGTTGTTGATGGAACTCTAGCTGTTTCTGTAGTTGCTGTAGATGTTGGTTCAGTGGTTGTTCTTGATTCAGATGTAGATGTTTGAGCAGGTGCTTTTGGTTGAGGTGTAGTTGTTGGAGTTGTTGATTCAGATGTTGATCCAGTGGTTGGTGAGTGAGATGTAGATGTTGTTGTTTCAGATGTAGATGTTGGTGCAGGGGTTGTTGTTGATTCAGATGTAGATCTTTGAGCAGGTGTTGCTGATTGAGGTGCAGATGTTGGTGTTGTTAATTCAGAGGTTGATTCAGTCATTGGTGAGTGAGATGTAGATTTTTCTGTATTCGATGTAGATGCAGGTTCAGTGGTTGTTGTTGATTCAGATGTAGATGTTTGAGAAGGTGTTGTTGATTGAGGTGCAGATGTTGGTGTTGTTGATTCAGATATTGATTCAGTGGTTGGTGAGTGAGATGTAGATGTTGTTGTAGCTGATTTAGGTGTTGGTGCAGGGGTTGTTGCTGATAAAGCTGTAGATGTTGATGTAGATGTTGGTGCAGGGGTTGCTGTTGTTGATGGAACTCTAGATTTTTCTGTAGTTGATGTAAATGTTGGTTCAGTGGTTGTTTTTGATTCAGATGTAGATGTTTCAGAAGGTGTTATTGATTGAGGTGCAGATGTTGTTGTTGTTGATTCAGATGTTGATTCAGTGGATGGTGAGTCAGATATAGGTGTTGTTGTTGCTGGTGTAGATGTAGGTGCAGGGGTTGTTGATTTTGATGAAACTGTAGATGTTTCTGTAGTTGATGTAGATGTTTGTTCAGTGGTTGTTGTTGATTCAGATGTAGATGTTTGAGGAGGTGTTATTGGATGAGGTGTAGATGTTGGTGTTTTTGAATCAGATTTTGATCCAGTGGTTGGTGAGTGAGATGTAGATGTTGTTGTTTCAAATGTAGATGTTTCTGTAGTCAATGTAGATGCAGGTTCAGTGGTTGTTGGGTGCAGGGGTTGTTGCTGATAAAGCTGTAGATGTTGATGTAGATGTTGGTGCAGGGATTATTGTTGATTCGGATGTAGATGTTTGAACAGGTGTTGTTGATTGTGGCGCAGATTTTGGTGTTGTTGATTCAGATGTTGATTCAATTGTTGGTGAGTGAGATATAGATGTTGTTGTAGATGATGTAGATGTTAGTGCAGGGGTTGTTGTTGTTGATGGAACTGTATATGTTTCTGTAGTTGATGTAGATGTTGGTTCAGTAGTTGTTGTTGATTCAGATGTAGATTTTTGAGCAGGTGTTGTTGATTGATGTGTAGATGTTGTTGATCCAGATGTTGATTCAGTGATTGGTGAGTGAGATGTAGATGTTGTTGTAGCTGATGTAGATGTTGGTGCAGGGGTTGTTGTTGTTGTTGATGGAACTCTAGCTGTTTCTGTAGTTGATGTAGATATTGGTTCAGTGGTTGTTGTTGATTCAGATGTAGATGTTTGAGCAGGTGCTTTTGGTTGAGGTGTAGTTTTTGGAGTTGTTGATTCAGATGTTGATCCAGTGGTTGGTGAGTGAGATGTAGATGTTGTTGTTTCAGATGTAGATGTTGGTGCAAGGGTTGTTGTTGATTCAGATGTAGATGTTTGAGCAGGTGTTGCTGATTGAGGTGCAGATGTTGGTGTTGTTGATTCAGATGTTGATTCAGTGGATGGTGAGTGAGATATAGATGTTGTTGTAGCTAATGTAGATGTTGGTGCAGGGGTTGTTGTTGTTGATGGAACTTTAGATATTTCTGTAGTTGATGGAGATGTTGGTTCAGTGGTTGTTTTTGATACAGATGTAGATGTTTCAGAAGGTGATTTTGAATTAGCTGTAGATGTTGGTGTTGTTGATTCAGATATTGATTCAGTTTTTGGTGAGTGAGATGTAGATGTTGTTGTAGCTGATGTAGGTGTTGGTGCAGGGGTTTTTGCTGATAAAGCTGTGTGTTGAAGGAAGTCTAGATTTTGCTGTAGTTGATGTAAATGTTGGTTCAGTGGTTGTTGATTCAGATGTAGATATTTGAGCAGATGTTATTGGTTGAGGTGTAGATGTTGGTGTTGTTGATTTAGATGCTGATTCAGTGGTTGGTGAGTGAGATGTAGATATTTCTGTCGTCGATATATATTCAGGTTCAGTGGTTGTTGTTGATTCAGATGTAGATGTTTTTGTAGTTGATGGAGATGTTGGTGCAGGGGTTGTTGTTTTTGTTGTTGAAGGCATTGTAGATGTTTCTGTAGTTGATGGAAATCTTGGTTCAGTGGTTGTTTTTGATTCAGATGTAGATGTTTCAGAAGTTGTTTTTGAATTAGCTGTAGATGTTGGTGTTGTTGATTCAGACATTGATTCAGTGGCTGGTGAGTGAGATGTAGATGTTGTAGCTGATGTAGGTTTTGGTGCAGGGGTTTTTGCTGATAAAGCTGTAGATGTTGATATAGATGTCGGTGCAGGGATTATTGTTGATTCAGATGTAGATGTTTGAGCAGGTGTTGTTGATTGAGGTGTAGATGTTGTTGATTCAGATGTTGGTTCAGTGGTCGGTGAGTGAGATGTAGATGTTGTTGTAGCTGATGTAGATGTTGGTGCAGGGGTTGTTGTTGTTGATGGAATTGTAGATGTTACTGTAGTTGATCTAGATGTTGATTCTGTGGTTGTTGTTGATTCAGATGTAGATGTTTGAGTAGGTTTCATTGGATAAGGTGTAGATGTTGGTGTTGTTGATTCAGATATTGATTCAGTGGTTGCTGAGTGAGATGTAGATGATGTTCTAGCTGATGTAGATGTTGGTGCAGGGGTTGTTCTTGTTGTTGTTGATGGCACTTTAGATGTTTCCGTAGTTGATGTAGATGTTGGTTCAGTATTTGTTTTTGATTCAGATGTAGATGTTTGAGCAGGTGTTGTTGATTGAGGTGTAGATGTTGTTGATTCAGATGTTGATTCAGTGGTTGGTGAGTGAGATATAGATGTTGTTGTAGCTGATGTAGATGTTGGTGCAGGGGTTGTTGTTGGAACTGTAGATGTTTGTGTAGTTGATGTAGATGTTGGTTCAGTGGTTGTTGTTAATTCAGATGTAGATGTTTGAGTAGATTTTATTGGATAAGGTGTAGATGTTGCTTTTGTTGATTCAGATATTGATTCAGTGGTTGGTGAGTGAGATGTAGATGATGTTGTAGCTGATGTAAGTGTTGGTGCAGGGGTTGTTGCTGATAAAGCTGTAGATGTTGATGTAGATGTTAGTGCAGGAATTATTGTTGATTCAGATGTAGATATTTGAGAAGGTGTTGTTGATTGAGGTGCAGATGTTGGTGTTGTTGATTCAGATATTGATTCAGTGGTTGGTGAGTGAGATGTAGATGATGTTGTAGCTGATGTAAGTGTTGGTGCAGGGGTTGTTGCTGATAAAGCTGTAGATGTTGATGTAGATGTTGGTGCAGGGGTTGTTGTTGTTGTTGTTGTTGATGGAACTGTAGATGTTTCCGTAGTTGATTTATTTGTTGGTTCAGTAGTTGTTGTTGATTCAGATGTAGATGTTTGAGCAGGTGTTGTTGATTGAGGTGTAGATGTTGTTGATTCAGATGTTGATTCAGTGGTTGGTGAGTGAGATGTAGATGTTGTTGTAGCTGATGTAGGTGTTGGTGCAGGGGTTGTTGCTGATAAAGATGTAGATGTTGGCGTAGATGTTGGTGCAGGGATTATTCTTGATTCAGATGTAGATGTTTGAGCAGGTGTCGATTGAGGTGCAGATGTTGGTGTTGTTGATTCAGATATTGATTCAGTGGTTGGTGAGTGAGATGTAGATGTAGTTGTAGCTGATGTAGATGTTCGTGCAGGGGTTGTTGTTGTTGATGGAACTCTAGATGTTTCTGTAGTTAATGTAGATTTTGGTTCAGTGGTTGTTGTTGATTCAGATATAGATGTTTGAGCAGGTGTTATTGGATGAGGTGTAGATGTTGGTGTTGTTGATTCAGATGTTGATTCATTGGTTGGTGAGTGAGATGTAGATGTTGTTGTAGCTGATGTAGATGTTGGTGTATAGGTTGTTGCTGTTGTTGATGGAACTCTAGATGTTTCAGTAGTTGATGAAGATGTTGGTTCAGTGGTTGTTGTTGATCCAGATGTAGATATTTGAGGAGGTGTTATTGGTTGAGGTGTAGATGTCGGTGTTGTTGATTTAGATGCTGATTCAGTGGTTGGTGAGTGAGATGTAGATGTTTCTGTAGTCGATATAGATTCATGTTCAGTGGTTGTTGTTGATTCAGATGTAGATGTTTTTGTAGTTGATGGAGATGTTGGTTCAGTTGTTGTTGTTGATTCAGATGTAGATGTTTGAGCAGGTGTTGTTGATTGTGGTGCAGATGTTGGTGTTGTTGATTGAGATGTTGATTCAGTTGTTGGTGAGTGAGTTATAGATGTTGTTGTAGCTGATGTAGATGTTGGTGCAGGGGTTGTTGTTGTTGATGGAACTTTAGATGTTTCTGTAGTTGATGTAGATGTTTGTTCAGTAGTTGATGTTGATTCAGATGTAGATGTTTGAGAAGGTGATGTTGATTGAGGTGCAGATGTTGCTGTTGTTGATTCAGATGTTGATTCAGTGGTTGGTGAGTGAGATATAGATGTTGTTGTAGCTGATGTAGATGTTGGTGCAAAGGTTGTTGTTGTTGTTGATGGCACTGTAGATGTTTCCGTAGTTGATGTAGATGTTGGTTCAGTAGTCGTTGTTGATTCAGATGTAGATGTTTGAGCAGGTTTTATTGTATAAGGTGTAGATGTTGGTGTTGTTGATTCAGATGTTGATTCAGTGGTTGGTGAGTGAGATGTAGATGTTGTTGTAGCTGATGTAGATGTTGGTGCAGGGGTTGTTGTTGTTGATGGCACTGTAGATGTTTCTGTAGTTGATGTAGATGTTGGTTCAGTGGTTGTTGTTAATTCAGATGTAGATGTTTGAGCAGGTTTTATTGTATAAGGTGTAGATGTTGGTGTTGTTGATTCAGATATTGATTCAGTGGTTGGTGAGTGAGATGTAGATGATATTGTAGCTGATGTAAGTGTTGGCGCAGGGGTTGTTGCTGATAAAGCTGTAGATGTTGATGTAGATGTTGGTGCAGGAATTATTGTTGATTCAGATGTAGATGTTTGAGCAGGAGTTATTGGTTGAGGTGTAGATGTTGGTGTTGTTGATTTAGATGTTGATTCAGTGGATGGTGAGTGAGATATAAATGTTGTTGTAGCTGATGTAGATGTTGGTGCAGGGGTTGTTGTTGTTGATGGAACTTTAGATGTTTCCGTAGTTGATGTAGATGTTTGTTCAGCATTTGATGTTGATTCAGATGTAGACGTTTGAGAAGGTGTTGTTGATTGAGGTGCAGATGTTGGTGTTGTTGATTCAGATGTTGATTCAGTGGATGGTGAGTGAGATATAGATGTTGTTGTAGCTGATGTAGGTGTTGGTTCAAGGGTTGTTGCTGATAAAGCTGTAGATGTTGATGTAGATGTTGGTGCAGGGATTATTGTTGATTCAGATGTAGATGTTTGAGCAGGTGTTATTGGATGAGGTGTAGATGTTGGTGTTGATTCAGACTTTGATTCAGTGGTTGGTGAGTGAGATGTAGATGTTGTTGTTTCAGATGTAGATGTTTCTGTAGTCGAAGTAGATGCAGGTTCAGTGGTTGTTGTTGATTCAGACGTGGATGTTTGAGCAGGTGTTGTTGATTGAGGTGTAGATGTTGGTGTTGATTCAGATGCTGATTCAGTGGTTGGTGAGTGAGATGTAGATGTTGTTGTAGCTGATGTAGATGTTGGTGCAGGGGTTGTTGTTGATGGAACTCTAGATGTTTCTGTAGTTGATGTAGATTTTGGATCAGTGGTTGTTGTTGATTCAGATGTAGATGTTTGAGCAGGTGTTATTGGATGAGGTGTAGATGTTGGTGTTGATTCAGACTTTGATTCAGTGGTTGGTGAGTGAGATGTAGATGTTGTTGTTTCAGATGTAGATGTTTCTGTAGTCGAAGTAGATGCAGGTTCAGTGGTTGTTGTTGATTCAGACGTGGATGTTTGAGCAGGTGTTGTTGATTGAGGTGTAGATGTTGGTGTTGATTCAGATGCTGATTCAGTGGTTGGTGAGTGAGATGTAGATGTTGTTGTAGCTGATGTAGATGTTGGTGCAGGGGTTGTTGTTGTTGATGGAACTGTAGATGTTTCTGTAGTTGATGTAGATGTTGGTTCAGTAGTTGTTGTTGATTGAGGTGCAGATGTCTGTGTTGTCGATTCAGATGTTGATTCAGTCGTTGGTGAGTGAGATATAGATGTTGTTGTAGCTGATGTAGATGTTGGTGCAGTGGTTGTTGTTGTTGATGGAACTGTAGATGTTTCCATAGTTGATGTAGATGTTGGTTCAGTGGTTGCTGTTGATTCAGATGTAGATGTTTGAGCAGGTGTTGTTGATTGAGGTGTAGATGTTATTGATACATAAGTTGATTCAGTGGTTGGTGAGTGAGATATAGATGTTGTTGTAGCTGATGTAGATGTTGGTGAAGGGGTTGTTGTTGTTGATGGAACTGTAGATGTTTCTGTAGTTGATGTAGATGTTGGTTCAGTGGTTGTTGTTAATTCAGATGTAGATGTTTGAGCAGGTGTTATTGGTTTAGGTATAGATGTTGGTGTTGTTGCTTCAGATATTGATTCATTGGTTGGTGAGTGAGATGTAGATGTTTTTATTTCGGATGTAGATTTTTCTGTAGTCAATGTAGATGTTGGTTCAGTGGTTATTGTTGATTTAGATGTAGATGTTTGAGCAGATGTTGTTGATTGAGGTGTAGATGTTGTTGTTGTTGATTCAGATGTTGATTCAGTGGTTAGTGAGTGAGATGTAGATGTTGTTGTAGCTGATGCAGATGTTGGTGCAGGGGTTGTTGTTGTTGTTGATGGAACTCTAGATGTTTCTGTAGTTGATGTAGATGTTGGTTCAGTGGTTGTTGTTGATTCAGATGTAGATATTTGAGCAGGTGTTATTGGTTGAGTTGTAGATGTTGGTGTTGTTGATTCAGTGGTTGGTGAGTGAGATGTAGATGTTTGTTCAGTTGTTCTTGTTGATTCAGTTGTAGATGTCAGTGCAGGGGTTGTTGTTGTTCTTGAAACAGATGTGTGTGCAGCTGGTGATGTAAAATAAAATAAAATAGCAAAACTTTAATAGATGAGATAGAACAAAAAGCATTAATAGATGGCAGGCAACAGTGACCTATAGTGTAAAAAAAACTGTATCAGTGAAATGAATGTTGATTACGAAGGGAGCGATTAAGTTTTGTTTGTTTTATTTTTTGTTTTTGTTTTTAATGCTGCCATTGACATTATTATTTTCTGATTTCAGACCAGTTTTAAAGTGCCGATACAGTGTCACATTTCCTTAACAACATAAAACTTTTGTTTTGTTTAACACTAACCAGTTCCGGATTTATTACTTGTTATTATAAAGGTTTCCTAGGACTACATGAACAGTTATGAAAACTGATACTGTTGATTGTATCTGAAGATTGTTGACTGAAGATTGTAAGACTGCAGTGTAGTTCAAAACCACAACCTGTGCTACATATTTTATTATCAGTTATATTACTGATTTCATTTTTTTTTTTTTTTTGACTTTGACACAATCATAATAACTTGTATAGCAACTTGTATTTTGTTTGTAATTGCAGGATGTATTTTTACTTGGTCTTTTCTTAGCAGATTGATTTGTAAAGAAATTTGCACAATTAATGCATTTAATTAATTTACTCGCATGTGTTTTGTGAGCAACGCTAGATACCCCAGTTAATTAAAGGCTTTTTATTTTTACTATACGAGTGTCTTGGAGTATTTCATCTTCTTGTTGTTATTACTGCTTCATTTTTTTTTTCTGCTGTCTAAAAACTGGACAGACAGTTCTGATTTCTGCTCAACAGATTCAAGTAGTCTCTGCTGAATATGTGATAATTGCACCATATTATGTGCATTAAACCTTGAATATTTTTTTTGTATGATTTATATTCATGATTTAATTAAAAAGCAACCCAAGTCTGTTTTTTTTATTCCTTTCTATTGTACTTGTTCCTGATATTTACTATGTTACTATGATAAATATGTTACTATGATATAAATACATACCTAAATAACAATTTGCATTCTATTATTATTACTTTTTTTTATCACAGCATTCGCTTTTTTTTTTTTTTTTTTTGTTATGCAGGACTATAAGACATTTTGAAGTCTTTATAGCACTTAACATTAATGCAGTTGAACAATTATTCATGCCATGGAGTATTTTTAGTTTATTTAGCTTTATCACATGTCAAAGTTCAATACTAAGTGTAAAGTATGATAATGTATAATATTTAATATAATAAAGAACCATAATATTTAACAATATAAGAAATAGTAATAGTGATGCTTGAGCAGCACCACTAAGTGTACTGTATTTTTTTAAATTAGTCGCACAGTGTTTTCTTATTCTTTGATGTATATATATATATATATATATATATATATGTTTACATGTACTGTATATATTATGACTCGTACTATTCTTATCAAACATCATATAATTTCTCAAATAAAAATTACCAAGCATTTTACTATTACAATTCACTATTCATATAAATAAGTGAAAAAATATGTGCACATTGTCAGTATTCAGATTGTTCTCAGAATTTACATTTCTTCATAGCTGACAAATAAAGGGTAATTGTATTACTTTTATGTTTGACAAAAATGCACAGATTATTCAGAAATGGTAAAACTATACAAAACTGATATATTCCTAAATAAAGCCTATTATATCTCTCAGTATATTACTATTTTTTAACATACTGTATAAGATATAATTCACGTACATTATATGCATGCATATATATATATATATATATACTGTAGTTATGATTATACTTCCATATACATCACATGACTCAAATATTTATATTTAAAAGACATCTTACCTGTTGGTATTGATCTATCAATCAGTAAAGCCAATCCAATACATATAATACATCGAAACATCTTTCAAGTTTTTTGCTACTAAACCTAATGCCAGAAAAGCAGCCTGACATATAATCATAATGTACTCATAACTCAAGCTTAATATACTGCCCTTAAACTCCACCTACCCATTAATTTTCACTAATATAACAGGTTCTCATAATGAGTGACTAGTGAAAAATTATTTAAATACAGAAATATATTATCTATTATTATTATTATGTTTACAAATAATACAAATACTAGAGAGAGTATGTAGAAAAATCGTTTAGACAGAGACACCCACACATTTCTACAGTGTTGTATCAAACCGCAAACAATAACTTATGTAAATGTTATAATTGTCCTGATACAGCTGAACACTTTCACTTTCTGACTGCATTGTCACACTTCCCATTAATTAAAGTAACACTGATCACTCCTTAACAGTAAGGAACAAAAAAGTGTCCTTGTAACCCAAATAGAGATGCACATCATAAACTGTATGTAAGTGCTAATGACCAGTTCAGATTTCTTTCTGAAAGTTTAGCTGTCCAGTTGAAGCGGAGCTGAGAAAGCGTCTCAGGTTACGTATGTAACCCTGGTTCCTCGAGGGAACGAGAGCTGCGTCGGAAAACTCTAGGGGAACGCCTTCTGTGACCAAGCTCTGAATAACATGTGAAATCAGTCCAATAGCTGAGTGGGACGTCACGGGCGGGTGACGGTTCAATAGGCACAAATCTACAATAGGACGCAACCCCCCATCCTTCTTCGGAACAATGAAGTACCGGCTCTACAACCCGGAGTCTGTCTCGTGCGTACCGCCAGGTGACCTCCTAAGGGAACCAGTCTCGCGAGAC